GTGTAAAGGGGGCCTGTGTCTACATGTGAGGTGGGGGGTAAAGGGGGCCTGTGTCTACATGTGAGTGGGGGGGTAAAGGGGGCCTGTGTCTACATGTGAGGTGGGGGGTGTAAAGGGGGGCCTGTGTCTACATGTGAGGTGGGGGGTAAAGGGGGCCTGTGTACATACATGTGAGGTGGGGGGTAAAGGGGGGCCTGTGTCTACATGTGAGGTGGGGGTAAAGGGGGCCTGTGTCTACATGTGAGGTGGGGGGTAAAGGGGGCCTGTGTGTACATGTGAGGTGGGGGGTAAAGGGGGCCTGTGTCTACATCTGAGGTGGGGTGTAAAGGGGGCCTGTGTCTACATGTGAGGTGGGGGGTAAAGGGGGCCTGTGTCTACATGTGAGGTGGGGGGTAAAGGGGGCCTGTGTCTACATGTGAGGTGGGGGTAAAGGGGGCCTGTGTCTACATCTGAGGTGGGTGTAAAGGGGGCCTGTGTCTACATGTGAGGTGGGGGTAAAGGGGGCCTGTGTCTACATGTGAGGTGAGGGGTAAAGGGGGCCTGTGTCTACATGTGAGGTGAGGGGGAAAAGGTGGCCTGTGTCTACATGTGAGGTGGGGGGTAAAGGGGGCCTGTGTCTACATGTGAGGTGGGATGTAAAGGGGGCCTGTGTCTACATGTGAGGTGAGGGGGAAAAGGGGGCCTGTGTCTACATGTGAGGTGGGATGTAAAGGGGGCCTGTGTCTACATGTGAGGTGGGATGTAAAGGGGGCCCGTGTCTACATGTGAGGTGGGGGGGTAAAGGGGGCCTGTGTGTACATGTGAGGTGGGGGGTAAAGGGGGCCTGTGTCTACATCTGAGGTGGGATGTAAAGGGGGCCTGTGTCTACATGTGAGGTGGGGGGTAAAGGGGGCCTGTGTCTACATGTGAGGTGGGGGGGTAAAGGGGGCCTGTGTCTACATGTGAGGTGGGGGTAAAGGGGGCCTGTGTCTACATGTGAGGTGGGGGGTAAAGGGGGGGCCTGTGTCTACATGTGAGGTGGGATGTAAAGGGGGCCTGTGTCTACATGTGAGGTGGGGGGGTAAAGGGGGCCTGTGTGTACATGTGAGGTGGGGGGTAAAGGGGGCCTGTGTCTACATGTGAGGTGGGGGGTAAAGGGGGCCTGTGTCTACATGTGAGGGTGGGGGGTAAAGGGGGCCTGTGTGTACATGTGAGGTGGGGGGTAAAGGGGGCCTGTGTCTACATGTGAGGTGGGATGTAAAGGGGGCCTGTGTCTACATGTGAGGTGGGGGGTAAAGGGGGCCTGTGTGTACATGTGAGGTGGGGGGGTAAAGGGGGCCTGTGTCTACATCTGAGGTGGGATGTAAAGGGGGCCTGTGTCTACATGTGAGGTGGGGGGTAAAGGGGGCCTGTGTCTACATGTGAGGTGGGGGGTAAAGGGGGCCTGTGTCTACATGTGAGGTGGGGGTAAAGGGGGCCTGTGTCTACATCTGAGGTGGGTGTAAAGGGGGCCTGTGTCTACATGTGAGGTGGGGGGGGGTAAAGGGGGCCTGTGTCTACATGTGAGGTGAGGGGTAAAGGGGGCCTGTGTCTACATGTGAGGTGAGGGGGAAAAGGTGGCCTGTGTCTACATGTGAGGTGGGGGGTAAAGGGGGGCTGTGTCTACATGTGAGGTGGGATGTAAAGGGGGCCTGTGTCTACATGTGAGGTGAGGGGGAAAAGGGGGCCTGTGTCTACATGTGAGGTGGGATGTAAAGGGGGCCTGTGTCTACATGTGAGGTGGGATGTAAAGGGGGCCCGTGTCTACATGTGAGGTGGGGGGTAAAGGGGGCCTGTGTGTACATGTGAGGTGGGGGGTAAAGGGGGCCTGTGTCTACATCTGAGGTGGGATGTAAAGGGGGCCTGTGTCTACATGTGAGGTGGGGGGTAAAGGGGGCCTGTGTCTACATGTGAGGTGGGGGGTAAAGGGGGCCTGTGTCTACATGTGAGGTGGGGGTAAAGGGGGCCTGTGTCTACATCTGAGGTGGGATGCAAAGGGGGCCTGTGTCTACATGTGAGGTGGGGGGTAAAGGGGGCCTGTGTCTACATGTGAAGTGAGGGGTAAAAGGGGGCCTGTGTCTACATGTGAGGTGAGGGGGAAAAGGGGGTCTGTGTCTACATGTGAGGTGGGGGGTAAAGGGGGCCTGTGTCTACATGTGAGGTGGGATGTAAAGGGGGCCTGTGTCTACATGTGAGGTGGGATGTAAAGGGGGCCTGTGTCTACATGTGAGGTGAGGGGGAAAAGGGGGCCTGTGTCTACATGTGAGGTGGGATGTAAAGGGGGCCTGTGTCTACATGTGAGGTGGGGGGTAAAGGGGGCCTGTGTCTACATGTGAGGTGGGGGGTAAAGGGGGCCTGTGTCTACATGTGAGGTGGGGGGTAAAGGGGGCCTGTGTCTACATGTGAGGTGGGGGGTAAAGGGGGCCTGTGTCTACATGTGAGGTGGGGGGTAAAGGGGGCCTGTGTCTACATGTGAGGTGAGGGGTAAAGGGGGCCTGTGTCTACACATGTGAGGTGGGGGGTAAAGGGGGCCTGTGTCTACATGTGAGGTGGGGGGTAAAGGGGATCTGTGTCTACATGTGAGGTGAGGGGTAAAGGGGGCCTGTGTCTACATGTGAGGTGAGGGGTAAAGGGGGCCTGTGTCTACATGTGAGGTGGGATGTAAAGGGGGCCTGTGTCTACATGTGAGGTGGGGGGGTAAAGGGGGGCCTGTGTCTACATGTGAGGTGGGGGGTAAAGGGGGCCTGTGTCTACATGTGAGGTGAGGGGTAAAGGGGGCCTGTGTCTACATGTGAGGTGGGATGTAAAGGGGGCCTGTGTCTACATCTGAGGTGGGGGGTAAAGGGGGCCTGTGTCTACATGTGAGGTGGGGGGTAAAGGGGGCCTGTGTCTACATGTGAGGTGGGGGGTAAAGGGGGCCTGTGTCTACATGTGAGGTGGGGGGTAAAGGGGGCCTGTGTCTACATGTGAGGTGGGGGGGTAAAGGGGGCCTGTGTCTACATGTGAGGTGGGGGGTAAAGGGGGCCTGTGTCTACATCTGAGGTGGGATGTAAAGGGGGCCTGTGTCTACATGTGAGGTGGGGGGTAAAGGGGGCCTGTGTCTACATGTGAGGTGGGGGGTAAAGGGGGCCTGTGTCTACATGTGAGGTGGGGGTAAAGGGGGCCTGTGTCTACATCTGAGGTGGGATGTAAAGGGGGCCTGTGTCTACATGTGAGGTGGGGGGTAAAGGGGGCCTGTGTCTACATGTGAGGTGAGGGGGTAAAGGGGGCCTGTGTCTACATGTGAGGTGAGGGGGAAAAGGGGGCCTGTGTCTACATGTGAGGTGGGGGGTAAAGGGGGCCTGTGTCTACATGTGAGGTGGGATGTAAAGGGGGCCTGTGTCTACATGTGAGGTGAGGGGGGAAAAGGGGGCCTGTGTCTACATGTGAGGTGGGATGTAAAGGGGGCCTGTGTCTACATGTGAGGTGGGATGTAAAGGGCGCCTGTGTCTACATGTGAGGTGGGGGGTAAAGGGGGCCTGTGTCTACATGTGAGGTGGGGGGTAAAGGGGGCCTGTGTCTACATGTGAGGTGGGGGGTAAAGGGGGCCTTTGTCTACATGTGAGGTGGGGGGTAAAGGGGGCCTGTGTCTACATCTGAGATGGGGGGTAAAGGGGGCCTGTGTCTACATGTGAGGTGGGGGGTAAAGGGGGCCTGTGTCTACATGTGAGGTGGGGGGTAAAGGGGGCCTGTGTCTACATGTGAGGTGGGGGGTAAAGGGGGCCTGTGTCTACATGTGAGGTGGGGGGTAAAGGGGGCCTGTGTCTACATGTGAGGTGGGGGGGGTAAAGGGGGCCTGTGTCTACATGTGAGGTGAGGGGTAAAGGGGGCCTGTGTCTACATGTGAGGTGGGGGGTAAAGGGGGCCTGTGTCTACATGTGAGGTGGGGGGTAAAGGGGGCCTGTGTCTACATGTGAGGTGAGGGGTAAAGGGGGCCTGTGTCTACATGTGAGGTGAGGGGTAAAGGGGGCCTGTGTCTACATGTGAGGTGGGGGGTAAAGGGGGCCTGTGTCTACATGTGAGGTGAGGGGTAAAGGGGGCCTGTGTCTACATGTGAGGTGGGGGGTAAAGGGGGCCTGTGTCTACATCTGAGGTGGGGGGTAAAGGGGGCCTGTGTCTACATGTGAGGTGGGGGGTAAAGGGGGCCTGTGTCTACATGTGAGGTGGGATGTAAAGGGGGCCTGTGTCTACATGTGAGGTGGGGGGTAAAGGGGGCCTGTGTCTACATGTGAGGTGGGGGGTAAAGGGGGCCTGTGTCTACATGTGAGGTGGGATGTAAAGGGGGCCTGTGTCTACATGTGAGGTGGGGGGTAAAGGGGGCCTGTGTCTACATGTGAGGTGGGGGGTAAAGGGGGCCTGTGTCTACATGTGAGGTGGGGGGTAAAGGGGGCCTGTGTCTACATGTGAGGTGGGGGGTAAAGGGGGCCTGTGTCTACATGTGAGGTGGGGGGTAAAGGGGGCCTGTGTCTACATCTGAGGTGGGGGATAAAGGGGGCCTGTGTCTACATCTGAGGTGGGATGTAAAGGGGGCCTGTGTCTACATGTGAGGTGGGATGTAAAGGGGGCCTGTGTCTACATGTGAGGTGGGGGGTTAAAGGGGGCCTGTGTCTACATGTGAGGTGGGGGGTAAAGGGGGCCTGTGTCTACATGTGAGGTGGGGGGTAAAGGGGGCCCGTGTCTACATGTGAGGTGGGGTGGTAAAGGGGGGCCCGTGTCTACATGTGAGGTGGGGGGTAAAAGGGGGCCCGTGTCTACATGTGAGGTGGGGGGTAAAGGGGCACTCCGCTACACCACATTTGATTTCTTAATACATTTAGAATGTTTATTTGATATTTCAGCATCTGTTACACATGGAGATGTTTGATTCGGGGGGGGGGGACTATGTAGACAATGTTCTTCATTCCGTATCCAGATGTAGGATTGGTGACTCTCGGATGACCTACCTGCATGAGAAGGATGAAGATGACTGCAGAAATCAGGATGACATTGTGAGAGGGACCCCCCCAAAGAGCCGACCACCATCTTTACACCCTGGAATAGAGGGACACAGGTGACACCCTATAGAAGTCCTCCAGAGAACAATACATAACCAGTTGTCAGTATTACATCAGAAGGGGCAGCCAATGGCAGTGCCTTGCACCCTGACTGTGCCGGGGCCCCTCTCCTCTGACATGTCGGGGCCCTTGGAAAAGGAAAACACCAGATAGGACTGAGCTGTCCTCACTGTTCAGGAATAAATCATCGTCACGTCTATAATTCCCACCCCAGGCATGATAGTGATCACACCCAGGAAAGCAGCACTCCGGATATCTCAGTACAAGACAACGAAGAGATGTAATCAATGGTCGAGCTTTTCCTTTAAATCAATAACAAAATCACAAAATCAGCGCCACAAAACAACAAAAAACCCCAAATTCTGCACTGCTTGATGTCAGTGCAAACTCAGCAATAGGAGGTGCATGTCCCTTTAAATGGAAGTGAAAACGTTCATTTCCTGATTGTAGCGCCCCTCTAGATAGCGGGGGGGGGGGGTGTAGGGGGGGGTGTAGGGGGCAGGGCTAGAGTTGACTTTTCAGTGAGGAGGGCAGAGTAGCAGCTCGGGTGTAGTAGTTGGGTTCATTTGAGGTCAGGGCTGAGAGGCTCCAAAGGTCAGTTCCCTGATGCCTCCCCCTGCTCTAGAGATCCTGGAGAAGATTCTAGAAGCTGTGGGCGGGGGAGAGGAGGGGCTAGCCTGCACTCTTGGAGGAACCTGGCCAATCCCCAAGTAGGAGGCTTGGTAAGGGGGCAGGGCAGCCCTTAAATGTGAGAGTTTGGGTGGAAGATGAAGTGAGGGGCTGGAGAGGAGGAGCCTGGGGGGGGGCAGATGGAAAGGGGCTCACCTACAGGCAGAGGAGCTGATAAGGAGGAAAGCTCAGGACCTCAGTGGCTCCCACAGCGAGGACCATCTGTGCAGTAGAGAAGGAGCAGCCCAGCGGAAGGCCTGAGAACTCACAGACAGAGAACTGAGTGATCAGACCGGCACCCCCTGGGCCAGATAGGGGGAGGAGCACTCTGGTGGGACAATAGATTAGCTGCTGCCCAGGACTGTCTTATGTGTAAAGTGACAGTCAAGGATCTCCTGCCCAGGGATTAGGGTGGATAGAGGAGTGTCTGGGGTCTGGGGTCTGCGGTCTGGGGTCTGGGGTCTGCGGTCTGGGGTCTGCGGTCTGGGGTCTGCGGTCTGCGGTCTGGGGTCTGCGGTCTGCGGTCTGGGGTCTGCGGTCTGCGGTCTGGGGTCTGCGGTCTGGGGTCTGGGGTCTGCGGTCTGGGGTCTGCGGTCTGGGGTCTGCGGTCTGGGGTCTGCGGTCTGGGGTCTGGGGTCTGCGGTCTGGGGTCTGGGGTCTGCGGTCTGGGGTCTGCGGTCTGGGGTCTGCGGTCTGGGGTCTGCGGTCTGCGGTCTGGGGTCTGGGGGTCTGGGGTGGGACACCAGGAGGCGCTGGCTTGCTCTCCAAGAAGAGAAGTTGTACAAAGTCCCAGGAAGTTTGTCCTCAGTTACCGTTCCCTTTGGGCGTCCCGCACACCCCTTACCCCACCCGCACACCCCTTACCCCATCCGCACACCCCTTACCCCACCCGCACACCCCTTACCCCATCCGCACACCCCTTACCCCACCCGCACACCCCTTACCCCATCCGCACACCCCTTACCCCATCCGTACACCCCTTACCCCACCCGCACACCCCCTTACCCCATCCGCACACCCCTTACCCCATCCGTACACCCCTTACCCCCATCCGCACACCCCTTACCCCATCCGTACACCCCTTACCCCACCCGCACACCCCTTACCCCATCCGCACCGCACACCCCTTACCCCATCCGTACACCCCTTACCCCATCCGCACACCCCTTACCCCACCCGCACACCCCTTACCCCATCCGCACACCCCTTACCCCATCCGTACACCCCTTACCCCATCCGCACACCCCTTACCCCACCCGCACACCCCTTACCCCATCCGCACACCCCTTACCCCATCCGTACACCCCTTACCCCACCCGCACACCCCTTAGCCCATCCGCACACCCCTTACCCCATCCGCACACCCCTTACCCCATCCGTACACCCCTTACCCCACCCGCACACCCCTTACCCCATCCGCACACCCCTTACCCCACCCGCACACCCCTTACCCCACCCGCACACCCCCTTACCCCACCCGCACACCCCTTACCCCATCCCGTACACCCCTTACCCCACCCGCACACCCTTTACCCCATCCGCACACCCCTTACCCCATCCGCACACCCCTTACCCCACATCCGCACACCCCCCCTTACCCCACCCGCACACCCCTTACCCCATCCGTACACCCCTTACCCCATCCGTACACCCCTTACCCCACCGTACACCCCTTACCCCATCCGTACACCCCTTACCCCACCGTATACACCCTTACCCCATCCGCACACCCCTTACCCCACCCATACACCCCTTACCCCACCCGCACACCCCTTACCCCATCCGTACACCCCTTACCCCACCCGCACACCCCTTACCCCATCCGCACACCCCTTACCCCATATGCACACCCCTTACCCCATCCGCACACCCCTTACCCCATCCGCACACCCCTTACCCCCCCGCACACACCCCTTACCCCATCCGTACACCCCTTACCCCACCCGTACACCCCTTACCCCATTCGTACACCCCTTACCCCATCCGCACACCCCTTACCCCATCCGCACACCCCTTACCCCACCCGTACACCCCTTACCCCATTCGTACACCCCTTACCCCATCCGCACACCCCTTACCCCATCCGCACACCCCTTACCCCATCCGCACACCCCTTACCCCATCCGCACACCCCTTACCCCATCCGCACACCCCTTACCCCATCCGCACACCCCTTACCCATTACACCCCTTACCCCCGCACACCCCTTACCCCACCCGTACACCCCTTACCCCATCCGTACACCCCTTACCCCATCCAAGTTCAACTTCCCCTAATAAAACTGAAAAACTGAGCTCAAGGTCTGTTTACTGTCTCCTGGATGTAAGCCTGTGTGGAAAATGCGTGTTGCCTGGCTGTGCAGGACTATAGGGGGACCCAAATGTCTAGCGACCCCTAGGGGGGTAGTGCTATATGATCAGTTTGATGCCATGACGTGATCCCGCTTACACCAGCAGGAATTTACTAAAATAACAACACAAATATATGAGGGAACAGAATCGTATCGCACCACCGCACTCCAGCAGGCGTGATGACGTCACTGGCCAGGCAGAGCCTTGGAGTTAGGGCGATGGCACCACATCATGTTAGTCCTTGTGCTCCTTCTAGGATATTTGGGAGCTCTGTTGGTTACTCAGGAGGATTTTGGCTGCTTTGTGACTCGGGAAGTCGATCGTTCTCTATATGTTGCAGATCTCTTGTTCTCTCCTGGTGAGGAGTCGCTCACTCTGCTGGTGCAGCACCTGAAGCCGACACTCACATGGAGAGGACATTTGGCACATCACATATTTCATTGATAGTTACAGGGATGCAGCTTCCATCGTTGTGTTCGCACCGACATCAAGCTGGGAAGAACCGTTTTGTTGTTTGTTGTTGGATAATGATTTTGACATTTATAATAATTTGTCACTGATTCAGCGGGAAAGAGCACCAATTTACATGTATGTTTGTATGTACTGCATTATATGTCAGCGTGACCCTTCCAGGTGTTCATTACCTCTCACAGAGATCACAGCACTCCCCCTGACAATGCATCTGATCTTCTCTCCGGAAGGACGGCACCATCTCTGTTCAGGCATCATCCAGGGTCTACGCCTACCTCCTGGACAGAGATGGCAGCTCAGAGATGACACCATCATGTAAATCCTGGGGCCTGTGCAGTTCTGTGTTCACAAATGTCTGACACAGATCAGCCCCTGATGCAGCCTCTCACCTCGTGCTTTGCTACTTTTTACATCACCAACTTTTTCTCTTGTAATTAAGAAATCCAAAAACAGAGCTGTGTGAGATATGGATCTCGGAATGTCCCCCATTTCCATATTGACACATTTCTCGAAAAAAAAAATATTGTCTGTGTGCACATCTGACTCCTTATACAATCTATTAACCCGACGTCACCCATTTATTAATTATTTGCACCCAAACACACCAATTAATTGACATGACCCAGCACAACATATGTGACATGTGACCCATCAGCACAAGAAGTCTCATAATACACGATATTGCCCAAAGTATTGCCCCCGCTCCCTCCCAATCATGTGATTCAGGTGCTCCAATCCCCTCCATATCATGTGATTCAGGTGTTCCAATCCCCTCCATATCATGTGATTCAGGTGTTCCAATCCCCTCCATATCATGTGATTCAGGTGTTCCAATCCCCTCCAATCATGTGATTCTGGTGTTCCAATCCCCTCCCAATCATGTGATTCAGGTGTTCCAATCCCCTCCATGTCATGTGATTCAGGTGTTCCAATCCCCTCCATATCATGTGATTCAGGTGTTCCAATGCCCTCCATATCATGTGATTCAGGTGTTCCAATCCCCTCCATATCATGTGATTCAGGTGTTCCAATCCCCTCCATATCATGTGATTTGGGTGTTCCAATCCCCTACATATCATGTAATTCAGGTGTTCCAATCCCCTCCATATCATGTGATTCAGGTGTTCCAATCCCCTCCATATCATGTGATTCAGGTGTTCCAATCCCCTCCATATCATGTGATCCCGGTGCTCCAATCCCCTCCATATCATGTGATTCAGGTGTTCCAATCCCCTCCATGGATACAGGTGTATACAATCAAGCCCCTAGGCATGCAGACGGCTTCTACAAACATTGGTGAAAGAATGGGTCGCTCTCAGGAGCTCAGTGACTCCAAGCGTGGTCCCGTGATAGGTGGCCACCTGGGCAACAAGTCCATCCGTGACATTTCCTGGCTACTAAATATTCCACGCTCAACTGTTAGTGGGATTATAACAAAGTGGAAGCAACTGGGAACAACAGCCACCAAGTGGTAGGCCACGTCACAT